CTCCACAGAAGCGCACAAAAGTCGGGTTGACCGCATTTTGCTTTATCTTGGCTTTCTCCTGCACTTCCAAATTGCTCAACAAGGGAGCAGGTGAAGCAAATGCACTCGGAGCAGCTGAGAGGGGCCCTTCTCTATATTAAAATTGAAAGGGTAGTATAGAGCTTTGTTGTTATGGCATCAGAGATGTATTTGGGGTCTTTTAGATCTCTGTAGGTCCCACACTGAGCGGGAGAGAGGATCCAGGAGGACTGGCTTCATGAGGTTGAGAATCTAAAAAGAGAGAAGCTGATTTGTTATTAAACCCCACAAAACTGCAGGGTGACAGGAGCCACTGCAGGTCACAGGAGCAGGCAGTAGCTGCAGCACAAGATCTGTGGAGAAAAAAAACGTGTTTCTTCCACTTTGTTCTGCCTCCCTCCCCAAAACCTGGAGATCTGACAGCAAACCGGGAGCGCAGCCAGGAAGGCGTCCTTGGGGGCGCACTGCAGGGCGAAAGTGCAGATAAACAGCAAGGACAGGGCAAAGGATAACGAGTATCGAGTCCTCGCTGTGCTCTTTGGACAGAGGCAGGAGAGTTTCACGTGTCCGTGCCAAGAACAACAGAAAACCCGGGAAGAGGAGGTCAGAGCTCCCGGGAAGGCGCCGTTTGGTGCTGCAGGAGCATGAGCACCGCGCACACTAAAGCGCAACTGTTTTCCAAAGGTGCATTTTCCTGCTGCTTCATCAGGTGCTCCCAGTTCTTTCGGTACAACGAAGGCCGGTTACCTGCAAGCTCCCACAGCACAAACGTTTCCTGTGGCCCAGGCGCCACTTGGAGCTTTCTAGAAGCAGGTAGAAGAACATCTGCCCGGTTATCAGGAAGGAACGATCACTCAAGGCCGACTTTGAAGCATTCATCTCGTTTATTGTCGACACCACCTAGAAATACAAGTGTAAAACGCATCTTGACATGGGTTTGATGGGTTCTTTGGACGGGGACTCAGACGTCTTAAGGGAAGGAGTCTGTTGGCTGCTGCCGGAGCCTGGTGGAAGAGCTCCACCCGGCGGCAGTCCAGCAAGGCACGGCTGGAGGCTCGGTGCAGCTTCTCCTTCACCCGGAAAGTCCCAACTTCCAGTATTTGTCCTTAAATGAGCAACACACACTCCAAGAAAGCCCCACACGGCTCCCGGTGGTTGTTTCTTTCCCCTCTTGCCTCCAGAGAAACACAACCATCACAAAATAACCGCTCGCTCCTGTTTCTACTGGGGGCAGCAGTGCTGGGCTCAGACACTGGAATATCGGATGGAGAAACTCCCCTGATCCGGGTCACCTCCCGAGGCACCATGCCCAGGCTCACAGGATCCAGCCCTCGGAAGTTTTGTGTGGCAGAACCATCTGGTTTTCCACCTAATGCTGACTTTGTGTGCTTTTAAGTGACAGCAAAGACTGGAGGGTTGCATTAATCTTTTGGGACAGAGGATGGAAGGATGGAAGTGACTTTTTTTCCCTATTTTACCAATCCTAGAAGATTTTTTGATTTTCAGAGGATTCACCTGAAAGATTTCTCTGATGGAGAGTGATAACAATCATTAATTGCAAACAATCCTCTCTGTAATAGACATCTTGATTACAGTCCCAATCATGGGATGGGTGAAATTACAACCATTGCCTCCCTGGAGAGTTAAAGCGCATCCTGCCTCACTAAAGGCATCTTCACCAGGTAAAACTTGGGCTCCTGAAGCTTAATGATGGTTTATACAGCTTCAGAGTTCCCTCCTCTAGAGGCTTGGTAGATACCTATCAGGGAAGATACAGTCCCCAGGAGACCAACTAACCACGGAGGAAACCTTCCAGCCCACAGAAACCCTGGAGGCAGCCAATGGATCGCGTTGGAGAGATCTGCCACTTGTGCAAGGATGCTCAGAACTTCAGCCTTCACTTGGGCTTTCGCTTCCTTCTGACTCTGAGGCGAAGATGTCCTGTTGGAAGCAAAAGTAACGTGAGTGGTAGCCCATCATGTATTAACAGTCAGCAACAGCTCACAAATGAGAACAGGTATGTCTGTGATACATGAGCTGATGTCCATGGAGGGCAATCATACCCCTTGTGCTGCCTCAGCTTTCTTCTTAACTGGCACAAGATTCTGAGGGATCTGGAAACAAGACAACAGAGTTATTTCTCCCATAACAAAGGGGAGGGGGTTTTCTCAACATGAACTGTATCCGTGAGGAAGAGCACCCTTCTGCTGCCTGGAGGGCCCTTCCTTTTATCTCGATTAATCGCAGTCTCATAGAACAGCAGGTTGGAAGGGAATTCAAGGATCACCTGGTCCAACCTTTCCAGGCAAAGCATGACCTAGGCTAGATGGCCCATCACCAAGCCGAATCTTAACAGTGTCCAACGCTGGCGAGTCCCCCACCTCGATGGGGAATCGTTCCAATGGCCGATTGTTCTCATGATGAAAGCTTTTCCTCTTACATCCAGTCGGAATCTCCCCAGGAGTAACTCATACCCCTCACCCCTCCTCCTTTCCATGTGTCTCCATTGTCTTTGTCGCCGCTCTAACTACAGGAACATGGTGATACGGTCTTCCCTGATCCTTCTTTTCTCAAGGCTAAACAGACTCATCTCTCTCAGCCTTCCAGCACACGGCTGCCCCGTCCTTGGATCATCTTTGTGGCCCTTCTCCAGCCTGTCCACATCTTTCTTTTGCATAGCAGGGCCCAAACCTGAGCCCAGCATTCCAGGAGTGACCCGACACGCATTGAGTAGAGCGGGACACGCTTCACCCCCTGCCCATCTCCTTCCCCCCATCCCACCTTACCGCAGGATGCCCAGGAGCAGGGCCGATGCCCAGAGCCCCGTGCTCAGGGTCCACCACTTCCGAGCGCGGGCGCGGACGATGCCGGCCTCGGCTGCCCAGGCGACGTGCTCGCAGGGGTAGTACAGCTGGTTGGCCACGTTGCAGAGCACCGACAGCGCCCGCACCAGCCCGT